AGGAGAATGACCCCAAGCCCAGCGAAGCGGCGGCGGCGGAGGGACAGCGGCAGCCGGAATCCAGCCCCCAGGGCGGCTCAGGCGGCGGCGGCGGCAGCCCCGGCGACGCGGACACAGGGCGCCGGCGGGCTCTGATGCTGCCCGCGGTCCTGCAGGCGCCAGGCAACCACCAGCACCCGCACCGCATCACTAACTTCTTCATCGACAACATCCTGCGGCCCGAGTTCGGCCGGCGAAAGGACGCGGGGACGTGCTGTGCGGGCGCGGGAGGAGGAAGAGGCGGCGGCGAAGGCGGCGCGGGCGGTGCCGAGGGAGGCGGCGGCGCGGGTGGCGCCGAGCAGCAGCTCTTGGGGTCGGGCGCCCGGGAGCCCCGGCAGAACCCGCCCTGTGCGCCTGGCGCGGGCGCGCAGCTACCCGCCGGTGGCGCCGACTCTTCGGGCGACGGGGAAGGCGGGTCCAAGACGCTCTCGCTGCACGGTGGCGCCAAGAAAGGCAGCGACCCCGGAGGCCCCTTGGACGGGGCGCTCAAGACCCGCGGCTTGGGCGGCGGCGACCTGTCGGTGAGCTCGGACTCGGACAGCTCGCAGGCCAGCGCCAACCTGGGCGCGCAGCCCATGCTCTGGCCGGCCTGGGTGTACTGTACGCGCTACTCGGACCGGCCCTCTTCAGGTGAGCCCGCGGGGACCATGCGTCCCGGCTTGCTGGGGGAGGCCCGCGGAGCTGGGGGGCCGCTGGCGCGGGAACTTGCCGGGAGGAAGGAGACATCACAAGCCCCCACACACACACACACACAAAGACTCCCACGACATTGGACACTGTGTACAGCGGCGCTGGCCGGGGCAGCGGCCGGAGTTGAGAGGCAGGATGGCTTCGCTGGGGAGTACGGGCGGACCTCCTTAGGAGCAGAAGGGACAAGGCCCCCTCTGTCTCTCTCACCCTCTTTCTCTCTCTCTCTCCTTTTGGGGCAGCCCCGCGCTGCCCCTAGCCCGCCTCGCCCTGACTGCAGCTTATTTGGTGGGAGCGGGGCCGGCTGGAAGACAGGCCGAGAAGCCAGTCTCTCCACCTGGTCCCCCCATCCTTCAACTCAAACCAGGCGGAGACCCCAGACTGCCCTGTGGTCCAGTTACCCCAGAGGTAGTGGGGAAGGAAGGATCAATGGCCATCGCGGCTCCTCCTTCTGCCCCTTGGCCTGGGCTGACCGAGGCGCAGGGAGACTCAGGGAGAGGGTGAAACGGGCGCCCTTTTCCCCTCGCGGGACTCTACTCGCGGCCGCCCGAAGCTCAGCACCTTCCTGCGTGGCTGGGACCAGAGAGGCCGCCGCGCCGGGCACCTGCGGTCCCCGGACAGAAAGGACCTTCTCGAAAGGTGTTGTGGCAGTTAGGGAGAGGAAAGGAGCAGCTTTCGGAGGGGCGTGCTGTGGTGGACGTATTATTTTGCAGGTCTGGGATTTTAAAAAGCCAGATTCGCGTCCTTGTAGGAATCATGAACGGCATTAGTTTCGGGTCTGCGGGAACCGCCATTAGGAGTGGGCTGCATTTGTCCTGCGCGGACAGCGGATCCCTGGTCCCCCAACCCTCGACTGTTTTGGGGGATCGTTTACCCGGATCACTGCGGGACTGGCCACCCTCGCCGCCTTCCTGCAGAAAAGTGTGTGCATGTTTCTCACGAAATTCCGACTTTTCCAGCTAGATCTGAAATTTGCTCCATTGTTCTCGTCTCCCTCCTTTGTTAATATTTAATTAACATATAGGCTCACAAAGCCGGGCGGCGAGGAGCCTCGGCCCAGGCTTTGTGCGGCGCCGCGCCAGTCCCGGGCCCTGCAGGCCCCAGCCCCCGCGAGCCGGCAGCACCGCCGGCCCAGTCCCGGTCTTCCTGGGCTTAAAAATAGCGCCGGAGGTAACGCAGACGGTTGTGTTCCTGGGCGCTCAAGAAAGAAGGGGCGAAGAGAGTTTCCTTGCAGAGGTAGAGGTTTGATTCCGTTCCCAGGACTCTTGTTTGCCTTTTGAAAAGGAACAAATAATTATTTTAGGGACCTTTCTTGCTGAGAAACGGTGTCTTTTCGAGGGCGGATTTGTGTGTGCACTTACTGGAGCCGCAAGAACAGGCGCTTGGGCGGAGGAACGGGGTGGAGAGGAGCGGGGTCCCGGCGCGAGGCTGGGCCGTCCCAGCAGGTGCGGGCCTCTCCGCCGCCGCCTCCTTCCCCTCCGCGGTGCCGCCGGCCCGATCCACGCCGCCACACCGAAGCAGGCCCGCCACGGGCACAGCCCGGGCCGGCGTGAGCGCGGCAGTGACTGCGTGTGCGCGCGGGGTGAGTCTGAGCGTGGGTGTGTGCTTTCGAAACAAAAAGGCGGGGAGCGTGAGCCGAACCGCCCTTCGCGCCCCTCTCCAATGCTCACAGCCTCCTTCCGGGATGGCTTCCCAGAGAGCACAGCGCTGGGCCTGCCCTCCCACCCGGCTGGGTGCAGCCTCGCCATCCCCTGAGGCTGGAGACGGGGTTCTGCCTTCTCCAGCCTCTCCTGGGGCCTCCGATGAAGTTGGGGCAGGTGCTACACCTCACAGGTGAAAACAACCAGACCCAAGGCCACCACTCCCCACCAGCGGCCCTGCCTGCCTCTTCCTTCACGGGGGGCGGCAGGAAGAAACTGTGCCTAAGCCCCTTCTTCCACCCGCTGTGCTCTGCCCTTTTCCCAGGCTCCTAGGGTCCCAGGTCCCAGCAGCCTTATCACCACCCTGCCCAACACAGGGCTGCTCCATGGGGAGGAGCTGGGGTGCCGGTCACAGTGCAGATCCCTTGTGGGGTGGTTGGAAGTATGGACCTGCCCAAGGTCAGCTGGGCCACCCTGCTGACTCCAGGGAGGCAGCCCCAGGTCTGGGGGCGAGGGGGGCAGGTCACCACTGTCAGCACCCACGCAGAGCCAGGCTCCCTCCCCTGAACAGGGGGACAGGGGGGCTTCCAGTGGGGGAAGAAGGAGCTGCAGTGGCTCCGTGCTCCTTCCCTGCCCTGGAAGGATGTACGTGCTCCATCCCATCCTTAAAGACAACAATGAACTTGGGCCCACAGAACCATTGGTGGGAGTCAGAAGGGGACTAGGATGGAGGCAGATGCTCTGGGCCCCTCCTGTTCTCTGGGTGCCTGCCCATGGTTCCCACAGCCCTTGGCACACTGTGGGGTGTCCCCTGTGGGGTTCCCATCACAGCCCCCAGGGCTCCTGCTTCTGACTGCCCTGCCCCCTTCCCCAATCTTCTCTCCCAGCACTTACCCCATCTTTATTCCTGGACAAGGCCTCAGAAAGGGCTAGAAAAGAACAGGCCAGAAAGTTTAGGGTTTTTACTTTCATCCAGGGCTTTACTTTTACCTGGAACCCCTTCATTTATTTGTGAGAGCCCATTCCCCTAAGCCTGCCTCTCCACCCCGTTCCTGCCCTGTGCCCAGGCTTCCCTGGCCCCGGTCTCAGAGGTCAGTGGGAGCCCACACCCTGTCCCGGGCCGTCCCCACTTCCCACACGTTCAGCCTTGGGTGTCCTTGGGTGAGTCACTTCCCTCTAGGAGTCCCTGCTTCCTTCCAGAGCCTGTTGGGCGACTCACCTCCACCTCCGGGTGAGGAGATGGGCCTCCCAGCCATGGTGACCTGAGCACTCTCTGTCCACCGTGTCTCCCAGGTCCCAGGTCTCGAAAACCAAAGAAGAAGAACCCGAACAAAGAGGACAAGCGGCCTCGCACGGCCTTCACCGCCGAGCAGCTGCAGAGGCTCAAGGCCGAGTTCCAGACCAACAGGTACCTGACGGAACAGCGGCGCCAGAGCCTGGCGCAGGAGCTCAGCCTCAACGAGTCGCAGATCAAGATCTGGTTCCAGAACAAGCGCGCCAAGATCAAGAAGGCCACAGGCAACAAGAACACGCTGGCCGTGCACCTCATGGCGCAGGGCCTGTACAACCACTCCACCACCGCCAAGGACGGCAAGTCGGACAGCGAGTAGGGCGGCGGGCGGGTGCCGGAGTCCGGTCTCAGCCGCACTGAACAATGCAATAATTTAAAATCACGCTAAAGGGCCAGTGTATAAAGATTATACCAGCATTAATAGTGAAAATATCGTGTATTAGCTATGGTTCTGCAATATTCTATTGTATATATAATTTACAGGTGGTATAAAATCCAAAAATCTGACTATAAAATATTTTTTGAGTTTTTTGTGTTTATAAGACTATGCTAATTTTATTTTTCTTTTTTTCAAAGTGGGCTGCTTAGGGTTTCATCTTTTTTAATCCCCTAAGCGCCATTATAGGACATCGGACACTTTTTTTTTATTATTTCAAAAGAAGAAAAAAAATTAAAACAACTTGCTGAAGTCCAAAGATTTTTATTGCTGCATTTCACACGACTGTGAACCGAATAAATAGCTCCTATTTGGTCTATGAGTTCTGCCACTTTGTTTGTGATGGCTTGGTGAGGACAGCAGGAGGCCCCCAGCCCCCAGACTGGGCCAGCCTGGGCCCCGCAAAGCATGGGCCTGAGACGTCCAGGTCTTCGGGAGCGTAGGGGACCTGGCGGGGAGAGGGAACTCCCAGGGTCCTTGGACCAGTTCCGGGCTGGGCCGTAGGAAGCCCCGGACCTGCCCGGAACCCGACCCCATGCTCACCCCGCCGGGCTGTGACCTCGCCCTGCTTCCTCCCCTTGCCCTGCTGCCGCTTTGCTCCCTCCTCCTCCTCCTTCTCGCCCAGGCCGGCCCGCACTTGCTGCGTCCGTGTGTCCGCGTCAGTGTCTCGGTCCCCAGTCCAGCCTGAGCCGCCAGCGCCACCCTCCCACCCCCAGCACTGCCTCTGCCCGCGGTGGGGCTCGGGCTCCGCAGCCCAGTGTGGCCTGCAGCCGCCAGCAGCGGAGCGACCCTCCTCTCTGGCCTGGCCCGGAATATCCTGCTGCTCCCCCAGCCACCCGGGTGCCAGCCAGGGCCCCGAATGGGACCAAGATCTGCCGCCTCTGGGCTGGCAGAGGGCTCCTGCCATCATCTGACTTTCCTTTTCTTTTTCTTCCCTATTTTTCCTTTTTCTTTTTCTTTTTTTAAAATTTTTTTGGAGTGGCCGCTTCTGCTATAGAGAACATTCTTCCAAGATTAATATATGTATGCGTGTGTATGCATATGTTGTATGCGTGCATACGCAGGCACACACTATCAGGCCTGTATGGGTCCACAGTTCTGGAACACGTGGCTACCTTGACTTTCAAAGGAACTCAGAATCCTCCAGGATCTAAAGGAAGGAAGAAAATGTGTAAATACTCATTTCTTATCACTTTTTGTCTTTTCTTGTTTTTTTAAATATACATTTTATTTTTTGAAGGTGTGGTACAGTGTAAATTAAATATATTCAATATATTCCCCGCCAAGTACATATATATAAAAACAAACACATTATCTATATATAACTCCCCACTGTCTTCTGTTTAGCATACAGGAAAGACATGTCCAAATGTCCATCTGTGGCCAGGGCAGCCCCCAGGGGTGGCCATGGCTGAGCTGGGAGTCAAGGCTGTCTCCCTGAGGACTGAGGGTGAACTTCTCTCTTTGCCTTAAACCTCTTTATTTCACTGCGATAGTAGTTTTACTTTGTACATAATAGTATAAACCTTTTTAAAAAGGAAACTATAAAAACAAAAGTTGTAATTTAAAAGTCTGTGAATAACCATCTGCTGCTTAGGAAACTCGATGAAATGACATGCCTTTTTAGCAGGAAGAAAAGTCGTTTTTTTGTTTATAAAACGTGCATTTTACAGTTCCAATATCAAATATTTATCTTATGAGAAATGAATGAATGTTCCTATTTACAACTGTGGTTATCAAAATTGTGAACATTTCCCCACCCCTGCATTTTTGTGTGTTTAAATTCTTGAAAGTTACATTAAATAAAAACAAAACCACCTCTTTATTATAAAATATTGGAGGTCTAAGGTGGAATGACTAATTTTTCTAAGCGCGTTTCTGAGTCCAGCGGAACCGCCCCGGGCATCCTTCCTCACTCCCAGGTGCTCTGGCCTTTGCCCTGTGTGGGACCAGGTGCTGGTACCTGCCTTTGCAGCAAGAGGCAAATTAGTATTATTATTTTGTAAAGACAGTTTGGATATCTCGCATGTGAGCACGGACCAACTAAAATAATTTAAGTTCGTATTTCTTTTCCAGGAGGAAGTGTTCAAAAATATAGTGCTATTCCATTGACTAAATCTTTTTAAACTTGCAAAGTTCAACAGGTCTCACTCCCTTGGCTGCTCACTGGCTCTGCTCCTGCGTGCTGGGCCGCCGCGCTTTCTCACTTGGGGAGGAACTTCGTACTGGACTCTAGACAAAGAGATTCTCCTTTTTAAAGTGGCGGTTTTGTTTACCTTTTGTTGTTTTTAACACCCCCACGCCCCACAAAGGGCCTTGTAAAAGGTCTCTGGCAGTATTGCGGCTGGGGGAAGGGACTGGCTTCTCCTGCTGACCCGGCCTCTGGAGCCCTCTGGGCTGGGAAGTGTTGGGGTGTTGCAGAGCGTCAGCCCATGTGGCCAATTGCTGCATTTCCAACTTTTTTGGCCTGTAAGAAGAAAGTTTCTCTTCTTCCAGTAAAAGAAACTCAGAGACTAGCGAGGGTCATCTGTTGCCAGAGGAGACCTTTTAGGCATTTTCTGTTTAACACTGGCTGCTCCCTGGATGGGCGGACACGTGGAAAGAGAGAGAAAGAGAGAGAGGGAGGAAGGAGAGAGGAGAGACAGAGAGAGGAGAGGAGGAGGTGGGGTAAGGAGAGAGGAGAGGAGAGTGCGTGGGCTGGTGTCTCATCCCTTGGGCTCCTCAGCCCTTGCTGCCCAGGTCCCAGCAGCCCCCAGCGGATCGCTGACGGGGAGATCATGCATTCCCCTCAACTTCTGAGCAGTTCCCAGTTTTCACAGATTAAAAACAAAAAAATATTAGCACAACTTCTATTAGCATATTGGCCCTTCCCTTATTTGAATAAAAAAGATAATAGCAACATCAAACAATCACTTTTTAATGTGTTTTGAAGTAACACTGGAAAGGGGCAATGTACAGCTTTGTAGGGTAATGAGTTCCCCATCCCTACGGGCATTCAAGCAGACACTCTGCTTACAGTGGAAGGGAGAATGTTTTCTTTTTTGTCTCTAGTAGGGAATTGAACTGGATGAGCCCTCAGACCCTTGAAACACTGAGATCCTTTTTCCTTCTCTATTATTATTTTTTGCTCCTATGTTTGTTGCATTTTAAAATTCAACAGCATGTAATCGAAACTCCTAACTCATGCACAGCCACTGCTGCACTAGCCAGAGGTGAGTGGAGATCAGAGTCAGGCCTTCAGGGCAGGTGATGCTCCCGTCCAAAGTCCTGGGGCCAGCTCAGCTTCACCCAGGTCCCCGGGCTCTGCGTGGTCTTGGATCTGGACCCGGCCTGCAGGTACTGAAGGTCACTGCAGCCCCGGCTACACTGTCTCCCACAGGAGGCAGGTTTCCTAAGTGTGCATAAGAGGAAAGTTCCTTTCATGAAGAAAGTCCTCCGTCCTTGGAGCTGGGGAGCTGAATGACCCCCACCCCTCAGGCCTGGCTGTGTCCCCACAGAGCTCAGGAGGAGCTGAGAACACAATCCTCCCTAGCCAGGCAGACACTAGGTGAGATTCTGGGAATCCTGGCCCAGAAGGGCCCACAACGGCCCCCCAGGCCTGCCAGAGCGGGCCCCCCTGCAGGGCTGCGGGACATGAGGGCCCAGCAGAGCTCCTGGGGGCTCAGAGGCCCTTCCTTCTCCGCTGCACCAACTCTGCCAACAGGACTGGATGGATGAGGCACGTCCGCCCCCAGGCTGCAGTGGGGACCCCAGGGCCAACACCAGAACGGTGCAGTGTGGACTCGCCTTGGCTTTCTCCGAAGGAGTCCAGGGAAGGAGCCAGCGGGTGACCCCAGGGATCCCCAAGAGGACTCCATCTCTTGATTTTTTTCCTTGAGTGAAAAGGGCGAATGGATGGGGGCTTATAGAATCCTTGGCACAGGTGTGCCCGGGCGCACAGTGCGCGCAACAAATACCCAGACTCTATATATGCAAATATGCTCCTCGGCTGGGAGGCAGCGTTTCTTCGCTGGGGCTCTACTAAAAGTCATTCTGTCTCCCGCTGGTTTAATATCCGACCTCTGCGGTCTCTACTCGCCTCGGCGGCTCCCCAAGCGCCCCCGGGAGGGTCCCGGCTCCGCCGAAAACTGCAGCCTGCCAGGCGGAGCCGCCGCGCGCTGGGAGGTTAATAGCGACTGACGACAAAGGGCCACGGTGCAATTCCGAAAGCGCAGATTCGTCTGGCAAAGCATAAATCAGCCTCGGGGAGACCGATGACCCCATCCCGACGCCCCCCTGCACACACAACGCTAGAGTCCCCGCGCGGGCCTCTGCGCATCTCGGTCCTATCCCGGCGGAGGGCTGGGCCCCACCTAGGCCTAGAAGCAGGGAGGGGGTGTGGGGGTGAGGAGGGGTAGCCGTAAGCAGGACAGAGATTTGGGTCCCCCGACCCTGGGGGCTGGCGGGCGCCGGCGCGCGCGGGGGCTCTGTGCGCGCGTTTGTGAGCGATGCCAGGTGGCCTGGCTGCCGCGCGGCACGAACCTCAAGTAGACTATTCATGTTTTTATTAATAATCTCAAATTCTTCATTATAATTATGCTGCCTGCCCAAAGAAAATAAAAGGCCATTCTTGAAATCGCTTGAAATGTAATAATAGTCATTAAAGTGGCTCCTAATTATGTGATTTAATCAAGCGTGGTGCGCCCCTGCTCTCGCTGGTGAGCCTGACGCAGACGGGGTTACTATTATCGTTGTTGTTGATGGCCTCGTGCTAGCAGCCGGCCAGCACTTCAGCTTAGACCCACTTTCCTCGAGTGATCTGGGGGAGCCCCGCTATCGGGGCGGGGTTTGCCCAGAACGACTCCAGAGTCACTGGGACCAGGTGAGGCCCAGGCCGGCTGCCCTGCTCCGACCCCAGCCTAGGCCCGTGCGAGGCCTGGGCAATTCCTGGCAGAGGACAGGGCCTCCCCCAGACCCTTAGGGCCCCCTGTGTCCCCGTGGGACGCCCAGGCCCGCTTTCCCAGAAGGGAGAACTTTGGGTCGAAGCCCGGGCCCCGCCCCATTGGCTGTCCCGCCCCCTCCAGGGCCGAGCCCGGCGCAGTGCCCCGAGCAGAAACAAACAGAAACAAAGAGTCGCCAAGATCTGCCTCCCGGGCCGCCTTTTCACCCCCTGGGCCTGGAAGGCGTCCCAGAGAGGCCCACGCCGGCCTCCGGGAGACCCGAGGGAAGGAGGGCCCAGGCCCGCG